CGCTGGAAAATTGAAGGTAACAAGAAAAAGAAGCCGTTCCACCGTCCAGAAAAGAGAGCTCACGAACCACCCCCAGAATGAAGAAGGGAGAAGTACGACGAATGCAAAGAGAGCCAGGAGAAATGACGGCAACTATAACCCGGCTCCCAAACGGAAGATCTACTCATCGGACAGGACTCTCCGCAGCAAATGTCGCCGAACTGCGGAAGGGCCACCAGCGGCGGAGGAAAAGTTACAAGGAAAATTTGAACGGCCAGCAACGAGAGTCCAAGCAGGAACGACGAGAGAAGTGTTCCCGGTTCCGCCAAGACCAGCTGCCATCAAACGGCCAAGACCACAGGCAGAGGCGAAAAAGAAGGTATTCAAGGGTGACCGAACTGGAGGAAAAAGAAAGCTTCTAGAGGAAGGCACTGAAGGGCGAGCCCGCACAAGAAGGAGGATAAATCAAACGCTAATCTTCGCTACCTTCCAGGACTGGGCTCAGAAAAAGAATGTCCGAATATCACAAAGATAAGTAAAATTTTATGTTACTTTGCAAACTTAAGTTAATCTTTCATTCTTACTGCAAGTGGCAGATTTCAAGAAGTTTTACCTCATGTGAGGTCTACCTTTATCGCCAAAAAGGCGAGAAATGAGTTGTTACCGATTTTGGTATTATGTTTTTCAATTACTCGCGAGTAAAACTAAAGTTGATGTATAATAGGAATGTGTAAATACTTAAATATTGTAAAAGTTATTGTATAAATTTTATTTAAAACATTCTGGCAAGAAAGAAGTTTTAGTCTGAAAGACTTTTTGAAATGTAGTATTTCAATGTAGAAGAATTGGCACTTGCTTGGAAAAGAATAGAAGTTAACAATGTACTACTAATGTATGTTTTCAAATGCGTAAAATTAACGGCATGTTAATATGTTCTTATATACAATGTGAACTGTTATTTTAAATGTTAAGAAATACCGTGATATGGTAAAAGTGAAAGTGTTAAAAATTTTTTTTATTCGTGTGACTGTAAAAAGACCAAATTCATGGTGAATATGTGTTAAAGGTTGAATGAATGTAGTTAGGCTCTCTGACGCTACACTTCAGAGTTAGCCACTTTCAGAATAGTACCTCAGGGTTTAGAGTTGAATATAGGGTGTGTTACGAGGTCTTGTTATGTTGAATTTTAACACGTTAGTGTTTTGATTGTAGGAGGAAGTGTTGAACACTTATACATAAACACATTCGTGTTTGGTGTTTTCTTTTACAACACATGTCAGAGAGAGCACGGGAGAGATAATTAATAATAGTCATGAATGAAATAAGAATGTTAAGAGAAATATAAATATCATGTTACTTGCCATTTCATTGTGTAACATTTCATTAAACTAGTTTTCCTTCCAGATCTCTGGAAGGAACCAGATTTGAATAAAAGCTCCTGTTTAGATGCAGTACAGATGAAAAAGTAATTGTCCATGGAGCTGATATTGTAAAAAAACAATTTTTTTTTTTTAAATTTCTAGTTTCTAGTGAGAAATGTTTGTAAAAGATTGGCCTCGCGTTAGATTCTAGAGCTAAAAGTTTTCAACAAGGTCGTTTTAGACCTCAGTTTCAAACTAATTAACTCTGGCGGGAAGTATGTAAGGATCTTAAGTTTTACTAACGTTTATTTTATTTTAAATCTTTACTATCACTTCTTATTTTCTACTTCCGGCCAGAATTAAAAGCTTTAACTTTATTTATGCAAATTTGTCTGGCGAACGCCAAGTACTTAAGTTGTGGCTTTTTGCCAAGCGAGAGAGAGGAAGGAGTTAGTCGAAGCAGGCCGCTTGCCTTAGAAGTTTTACTCGGTTGCTGGTTGCCTTCCAGGCCAGAGGTTTAATCCTCTTGATAATTTTAAACGTATTGTAGTGTTAACAGTTCTCTGTACTACATACGGCTTCCTGTTAATATACGGCCAATCTTCACGTAGGCCACTTGTTTATTATTCCAAAGTTAAGTTAGAGTTTAGTTAATATTTTTATATTCTTACGTTCAGACCACAAGTGGTTGGTCTCTGTATTCCGAAGTACGGAAATTATTGTAAAGAGAGAAAAATAAAGGGTTTCGTATACCCTTCCTGTGTATCTTGTCTACTTCCCACATTTATTGAACATAGCTTTAGTAAGCTCCCTGTTCCGAGTCAGGTCAAAGCAAGTGACCCGAAAAGAAGAAGACTTTACGCAAGGGAAATTTTTTTAGATGTTAAATGTTTTAGGTTAAAAGAAAGAAAGTTTAATGAAAATTAGTTACTTAAAAAATCCAATACGAAATTTAATTTATATGCGTTCCCCGATCCTTACACTTATGCTTGGGAGAATGTTATATTCATTATGAAACAATATAAAATGTTTACTTACGTGAGACGAAATTTTAATTTTTTAGCTTGCGATATTTAAGGACCTAATAGCGAATCTCAATAATAAAGCTAAAAAAGCAAAAAAAAAAAAAAAAAAAAAAATGATATTTTGACGTTTGCAAAAAAGGGTTTGTTAAAGTTTTTTACGCTCCACCGTCTGCTCTATTATTATGTGCTTTTACACTGATTAAAATTTAGTTAAAGCTTAATTCAGATTTAAGATGATTTAGTAAAGGTACTTTATGAGTGTCTATGATAGAACAATAATCTTTATATATATAAGCGACTAAAGTGTGTGACGCCGATAGTTTATTGTTGCCACTCAAAAAAATGAGAGCGGAAATTAACGTTTCTGCAGTTTTTAACTAATATCTCAACCGATTAAAGTCGTACGAAGATGCGAACGGTATCGATGGATTCAGAGAGTTTTTTGGAATCCGAGGATACGCGTCTCGAATTTCAACTCGGCGCTGTTCCGCAGATATTCGAGAAAAACAAATTTGGCACGTACCCAAATCCCTCTTAATTGGGAAACCCAAGAAAAGAAAGTGGAGAATATAGGGAAAACATAGGGCAAAATTAGTTTTTAATTTCATATCTCGGCTAATTAAAGTCTCCTATGAAGACGCAAATGGATCAAAGATGGCATGCCACGGAACCTGCAGAATCCAATGGTGTGCTTCGCTAAGCCCGGGATTCAGCCATTTCGAAGAAGATAGTGTTACTTCACCCCATTATATATATGCGGCTTAAGTGTCTGTTTGTCTCCGATAGTTTATTGGCTGCTTGCGTAACTGTACCAGCCAATGGGGTGAAGTTGCCACGGCACAGGGTTGCCGTTTCAATTAAGACGTAAACAATTTCCTGTAAAACTTGCCTTTGCTATGACCATCAATAAGTCTCAGGACCAAACGCTTAAGCGTGTTGGCATTTTTTTACCTGAGCCTGCATTTGGACACAGTCAACTTTATGTTGCCTGTTCAAGAGTTCTTGAAAGAACTTACGTAATATTAAAAATATTGGATGGTTCTCTGCAAGGCGAGCTTAAAAATGATGGAAAGATCTACACAAGAAATGCTGTGTACAAAGAGATCTTTGACATGTGAATTAACATTTCATTATTTAAATCACCTTTATTGACTGAGCTAGCGGTGGACTCTTAAGAAATGTACCGCCAGTGGTTTCCTTCATTGCACTCTGCTTAAACCAATTAAGCAAGTAGAAGGGGGAAACCCACTGGGGCAGTAAGCAAAGGGGCGTCCTCGCAGCCTGCCCTGAGTAATTCAGTTTATATTAGCAGACACCTTTGCCCAAATCATTTTAATTACAATTTAGAATATCTAGAACAGCGGTCATTTCGTATGACCGCCGGGATTTCTAGTTTTATCATAGACAAAAAAAGATGAAATTCGCAGGTAAATTAGTAAACATTTGCGAATATTTTGCAGTCGAAGATTTGCATTAACGCCTCGGAGGAAAGGTGTGCACAAATAACTAGTATGTAAGAAGTAATAACTAGTATAAAGATTATATTAAACATTTTAATTAAATTTTACAATTATTGACGAATCGAAGTATGAAAACTTATCCAGCACTGTTATTTATTTTAGATTAAGAGTAGTAGTGATTTTAATATATTTTACATTATACACATATAGATTTTTACTTCCTTGTACGAGATAATCGCTTATATAATTGAAAATGCAATTAATAGATTTCGTTATTTAGGCGCCCCTCGCTTTTATTTTTTTCCAATATAAAACTGTAGATGAATTCTTTAAATATAATTGTTTAATATACAAGTATTACTCTTATTACACTATATGATAAATTAGTTTTCTCTTTTTAATGAATTAATTATCATATACATTTTAAATAAAATCTTTTTTTTTTTAAATTTGCATTATTATTATTTTTATTTTTGTTTCAATTACATTTTGTTTCATCAATAAGAAAAACTTTTAAAAACGAATATTGGAAATTCATCATTATGTGCGCCAAGATGGCAAACTCAAAAGTAATTTTTCCATGAGAAACGCCTTTTTTCCCAATGTTTGCTTCAGACTGCAACACATTTTTTTTTTAATTTAAAAAAAATCGCTTTATTTATACTTTTTTAAAATTATTCTTGTTTTAAAAGAGGATGAAATTTTTGTTTTATAATCAGTGAAGATTTTAAAACAATATAACCATTGCATTTCAGATGTCGAAAGTTTAAAATAATAAACCTCAAATAGCCTAAAAAATATCTATTCTTAAAATTTCAGAGTTAAGTTATAGTTTTCATACAAGTTCCACTGAAAAGTTCACTACGTTCGAAGACGCAAACAATAAAATTCTGATAGGCTTAGTTTGTTCGTTAAACGAATATATGTACGAAACATAAATTAAACATTAAAAAATTTAATTGAATTTTAAAAAGCAGGTTCATCACATTACATTGTCATCCACCAACAGATTATCAGTAGATTAAAAATCGATTACAAAATTCTACAATGTGAAATACCATGGGGGACTAAATAAAAGCTTATAAAAGATAATGCTGTAATAATTATTGGTAAAGTGAAGATGAACTGAACTTCTGAAAGAAAGACGCTGGCTTTATGCAACAATAACAATATACCTGATATTTTAAGATAATCTACGCCGGGTTTCGGGGAATCTCGGCTGCACGTTTTTACAACTTGGACTTTACCGATTTCACCTGAATCAACACGAGATTTTAGACATCTAAGACCTGGATCAAAGCGTCTGCAAATAAAAAAGTAAATGTAGTAAAATAAGAAGCAAGCATTAGTAAATTATAAGGAACAACCTCAAACCAATAAAACTAAGCAAAAATAATAACATAAAATTAAACAAAATTCAGTGACATTTTATTAAAAATCTCTTCACTTATTTTGATTAAATCGGACAACGGATTTCCCTTTTTCAAAAAGTATTTTACCAGTTAGCAGATCCCCTAAGTGAGATTGAATTTCTGCCAAATTTTACTATCGAAAACGTCGAAAAAAACCATTCCACAAAGTAGTTCTTTAGCATTAACTGCCATAAAGACTAAGGAAAGAGAGCAGTAGATCATTTACTTATTATTAGGGGGTCCCGAAATATTTCAGATCCAAACTTCTCTTAAATAATTAACCGAAAATTTATGGTACCAATTAGAAATGTATTAGTAGACTTTCTATCTAAGGAAAAATAAAAGGAGAGAATGCACAATATATAAAATGTGTATTATTTCTTGAAGCTGCTGGTCTAGATCAATGCTTCTTAAACTTTTTTCAGACGTGATCCATTTTTATGACTGAGATTTTTTCGCGACCCCAGGACCCGCGACTCCAGAATATTTACGAAAATTTTGTGAGACCCCATAAGCATTGCACAAATCCGACACACGCGTGAGTGAAACTATCAATTTTTTCACTTGTGCTGTGATATACTATCGCAGGTTTAGGTCATTAACTTTAATTTCTGAGTTTAAGACATAGAACAATGTGAAAATTTTAAATAAATAACAGACGAAATGACAGCGTCACGTGCAAAGCAACTAAAATGAGCGTTTCTGTAATAAAAAGAATGCGTCGAAACGTTCTCGTTTTTCTCTTTCTGTATTGTCTTATCTTTATCTATCTTCGGATACACTGTGTAAAAATATTTGATAATTGTAAAATTATTATAATAAGAAATATCAAAACTGCTAAAATTTTTGGCGACCCTCTGCTGCAGGTTCCGAGACCTAGAGTTTAAGAAACTCTGGTCTAGATCAATGGTATTCAAATTATGGACTGCTACCCCATTTGGGGGGGGGGCAAAAATTTATAGGGAGGGTCGTAAAATGGATAAAAATCCTAAAACAAAAAAGCGAATTGGTGGTATCTAAGGCTAGATACTCTGAATGGAGTCACGAAATTGATTTTTGGGATAATTTGCATTTTTTTTATCGCAGTGCCATAAAGTTTGAATACCACTTATCTAGATTAAAAATTAGATTAAAAAAATATTATTGTTTCCCTACTTTTTTAAAAGTAAAAACATCTAAGAAATGTATAATTGCATTCAGCATACGAATTTATAGAAAAGAAATCAATTTTAAAATAAGAACAAGTATCACTAGAAACATTTTAATATCACAGATATTGCGTAGAGATTTCACAGAATTTATTAATTTAATTTAACTATTAATTTAAATTTCTTTGAAGTTGTTAAATGAACTTTTGAGATGACCCGATGTCTGCGGTCTAAAGAATGCATTTTGCACCACAAGACAAAAGTGCACGTTTGCAGCCCATACGCGGCTTCCTTTTCTGAGCTTGCGCATAAGTTTGTTATACAGTTGCTGCGCATTCGTCTCATTTAATTCAATCATATATCATTTATCAAGTGTAACTTACAAGCATTAATAGAAAGTGAATTCCATATTTTATTAGGGCTATTCGTTGGGTGCTCCGCGATGCCCTGCTTAACAAATACTTATTTATAAAGAAAAGACTTAATATTATTGTAACGTTATGTCTAGTTTCTATCTATGCAAGGGAAAATGAAAAAGGCGCGCAGCATGTAGTCAAACACTCTTTCGTTCGTAAATAGCTTTTAGAGGATTGCCTAAATTAACGGTCGATGCATAGTCCTCCAAATTCTACTACTTGGATGAAGCCTCTCGTGTATTTACGAGACTGCTGTGCAACTCAATTCGGATATTCCAATAGATAGTTACCCAGACTGTTCCACTAGCTGCGAAAGCATGTGTCTCTCGGCAAGGAAGGCGCGATTGGAATGTTGGCCGTTATTTCTCCATACGGTGATCATGAACATTGAAAGATGAATGGGATTTGTTGATAAAGATTGCATGTCTCTAGAAGAACATTGTCCAAGATGATCCAACTAGACACCTACCACATGGCTCTCCTAGGTTGGGAGATCAGATGTAGCCTCCTTAATGGACGCTGAGATCTAATCTCATAGTCTATGTATTTCTGAATTGTATTGTCTCATATGCTATAGGATGCATGGAGAATGGCAAATGCCATCATTTGGATAGTATTAGTGACGGCACAGACCCTGTCATTTATTTTCTATCGATTATACCATCCTCGCAAGCATGTGTGTTTGAGATATTCTTACTCTCTGCATAGATTACACGGATCTGCTACAGTAATAGCTGATACTATCTTTTGAATCAACAGATGTCTCTCAGACCTATGATGTTTTCTCTTTAAATAAGATTACGCCGTCGAATGCATCTGTTGCAACTTATGATCTTTTTTCTTATTCTTATTATTTACATTTTAACAACATCGATAAGTGAAATTTCTGCTTACCTTTCTTAATAAATATCCACAGGAACGCTTGGAATTCCTTTTCATTTTTCTCACACAGAAGCTTTATTTACAGCTATGTACAAGAATTGTATGCTTACATTAGAACATTCATCATGTTTTTCTGGTTGCCACTACATCTATCTCAAAAATCCGCAATGCGGTAAGAAAAATATAACAAGCTAAAAGTAAAAAACGCTGCGCCCTCTCGTGGCCAGCTACATAAACTGTAACATCCTCCCCCTCGATGAACTCTTGGTTCATCAAAGGATTGGATTCTGAAGTTATCTTAAACACTAAATGTTTTTAATGTTCTACAAGTTTAAATGTTCATAGATGCAGTGTTCGCAATTTAAGTTCATTGTATTCAGTTCAAAGAGTTCAAGTCATTTCTAATGGGTACAATAACTGCACAGGACGACGAAGATGAGTTCCATTAGCTAAACGGACAGTGCAAGCCCTTATTTTCCCATCTCGTCCTGGATGACACTCCTGTACAACTCCCATCTTCCATAATAATCTTGGTAATTTTTCTTCATGTACTAGAACTACAGAGCCTTTCAAAAGATCTGTTACGGCATTACCTCTCTGAATTTGTTTTACGTTTCTAATTTCAAGTAAGTATTCTCTTTTCCATCTTTTCCAAAACTCTTCTAATAACCTTAGCCGGTATTTATATCGCCTTGTTAAATTTTCTTTAGTTGAATCAGGTTCAAGAATTTTGCCAGATGGTAAGGATGTCAGTCTTCGTCCAACTAGAAAATGAGCTGGCGTCAGCGGTTCTGGTTCTCCAACTTCACTATAAACATACGTCAGTGGACGCGAATTCAATATCGCCTCAATTTCAATTAAAACTGTTTCCAGCTCTTCAAATTTAAGTGAAGCCTTCATGAGTATTTTCTTCAAACATGACTTGATAGATCTAACAAGCCTTTCCCAGAAACCGCCCCACCAAGCCGCCTTCTCCACATTGAATTTCCACTCAATACCTTTATTACCAAAATAATTTTGAACTTCTGTGTCCTTGATGGTATTCCATAGTTTTTGTAAATCCTTGTCTGCTCTTTTGAAGGTTTTTGCATTGTCTGAATATATTATTCGACATACTCCTCTTCTTGAAATAAATCTTCTAAAGGATAGAAGAAAATTGTTTGCTGTTTGGCTAGACACAAGTTCCAGATGCACTGCTCTGGTTACAGCGCATGTATACAGAGCAATATAAGCTTTCCCAGTTTCATCCTTTGTACTCATAGGACCAGCAAAATCAAGTCCTACAACTTCGAAGGGATTTGCCTCTGTTATTCTTTCGATTGGTAAAGGAGCGATATCCTGACTTAGTGGCTTAGCTTTAAATCTGTAGCAAATCACACACTTGTTAATATTACTCTTTACACGCTGTCGACCCTTAAGTATCCAAAATTTTTCCCTAATTTGAGTTAAAGTTTCAGCTACACCAGCGTGTGCTTGCATTTCGTGACAATCTTTAATGATATGATCTGTGAAATGAGACTTCTCAGGTAGTATTGCTGGGTATGTTTGATTATAGCTTAACCCAGCATTTTGAAGCCTTCCTCCTACTCTGAGTATTCCATTTGAGTCTACAAATGGATTTAATGTAAATATTTTCGAACTATGTATGCTTTGTTTCATCTTTAATTTCCTTATTTCTTCTCTAAAATTTTCTTCCTGAGTTTTCTTGATCCAGAAATTCTCTGCTTCATTCATCTCTTCAGCCTTAACAGGTCCAATTCTTCTTAGTTTTGGGTTTTTCAAATTATTGATAAATCTGAAAACATAAGATGTTATTCTATATACCTTTTTATGTCACTAAAGTTCTCGATAGGAATGATATTTTCAACAATACAGTTTGCTGTTAAAATTTCTTGCTTCTTTCCTTTTCGTTTCTCAGAATTTGTTATTTTATCATCTTCCTTAAAATTTCTCGAAGATCTGGGCCAAACGTTGTTATCTTTGACAAGCCAAGGTGGGCCATACCACCACAGTTCATTTTTTGAAAGGGTTTCTACTACCTTCTGTCCTCTCGTCAATAAGTCCGAAGGATTCTCATGGCTGCTGGACAATAATTCCACCAATCTGGATCAGTTTTCTCTTGGATTTCTAGACACCTATTTCGTACAAATTGTTTCCATTTTGTCGGATCAGCCTTGACCCAATGTAATACAATTTCTGAATCTGTCCACATATAAATCTTCATTTCTATGTTTTTCAACGAATGTCGGATGTATGTGATGAGTCGAGCTCCTATGACTGCTCCTAAAAGCTCCAGTCGAGGTAACGTAACCCTTTTTATGGGAGCAACTCTTGCTTTGGACATAACAAATGATGTTTTTGTTAACTCATTTTCATTGTATCTCAAATATACAACGGCACCATATCCCTTTTGGCTACTATCTGTAAAACAGTGCAATTGAATATTCGACAGATTTCCTTTTGACAGATTGTTGAAATAATGTCTTGGAATTTCAACATTTTTTAATTTAGGAATTTCATTATACCAGGTTTTAAATCGATTCTGCAATTCTTGATCAAGTGGTGCATCCCATTGGTAACCTCTTTGCCAACATTCTTGCATCATCATTTTAGCTGCAACAACAAAGGGAGATATGAAACCGATAGGATCGTATAGTTCGCCCGCAACTTGAAGAATCTTCCGTTTTGTTATTTCCTCAGCCGGATCCTTGAGTAATTCATCTTTGATTCGAAATTTCAGTTTATCTGCTTCATGATTCCAAATATATCCTAACAAAGTGCTATTCATTCCGTCTCCATTAAACTTCGTATTTTCAGCTGCATTCCAAATCGCATGTAATTGGGCGTTATTGCTCCTCCACTTTCTCATATTGAAACTAGCAAGCATCATAATTCTTTTCACATCTTCATAAATTTCTGCAGCTTCTTCTTCATCATCTGTACCATGAATCAAATCATCTACGTAAAAATTTTCTTCAAGAAGCTGACAGATCTTCGAATATTGTGCTTTCAACTTTCTTGCGTGATGCTTTATAGTTGCTGCTAGTAAAAAGGGGCTACAGGTTGCTCCGAATATTACACGCGTCATTCTTAAAATCGTCGGTTGCTCCTTTTCCTTTGAAGTCCAAAGAAATCTTACTGCATTTCTGTCCTCAGGCTTCAACAGAATTTGTAGAAAAGCAGCTTCGATATCTGCAGCAAATGCTATTTTGTGTTGACGAAATTTAATTAGCAAATCTAATAATTCAGGGTTTAAATTTGGTCCTGAATGTAAGCAATCATTTAAAGATAGACTGTCATGAGTATGCGAGGAAGCATCAAATACGACCCTTAATTTCGTAGAATCGTGATCTTCTCTGATTACACAATGGTGTGGCAAATAATAGATGTTTTCTTCAGAATTCTTCGGAGCCTTTTCAGCTATTCCTTTATTTAGATAATCTTCAATTACCCTTGAATACTTGTCATAAATTTCAGGATTTTTCTTAAACCTTCTAAGTAAACTGTTCCATCTGTTTAAGGCGATGTTATAATTACTACCCTATTTTGTTCATATTGTCCTTCCAAGGTAATGAAACTTCATAACGATTGGTTTTATATTCAATAGTTTCTTCAAATCTACGCATAACTTCAGTGTCATTTTCATTTGCTGAATAGTCATGTATTCCAATTGCATCTAAATCCCATAGCCTTTTTAGAGCTGCACTAATTTCCAAATCATGTGGATGTGAAGTATTCTCAACAACATTCATTACCGTAATTCCGGAATGAAGTGTAGAAACATTACTTAATGCTTCAGTTCCGCTTATAGTGTAACCAAATAAGGTTTCAGAGGCAACAAGACCCTTTGATAATCTTTTAACCTTCCCAGTGACTATTTTCCAGTAATAATCATTACCAATTAATACTGATATTTGAGAGTTATGGACACCTATATCTGTAGCATCAGCAAGTCTTATCGAATTTTCCTTACAATAATTAAGTATTTCCTTTCCTGGCATACCAATAACAGCTTGATTAATTTCTGGAGTTTCAAGAGCTTCAATTATTATTTTCCCAGGTCCACATATATCTTTAAGAATAACCTTAACCTTTTTTAGCCTTTTAACTGTAGGCTCAGTAGAGCCGAAGGTGTAAATCTGAAGTTCTTCTTCCCCCACAACACTTAATTTTTAATTGTTTTGATACTTCTGTCAGGATGAAAGATTTATGAGAGGCAGAATCGAAAATGAGTCTTACATTTTTTCTTCTATTCTGACCTAAAGCTATTGCATTTGCAGTTTGTAAATAAACCCTATTTTTGTTATCTCTTTCCGAAATTGACGCCACCACTGTGTCTGTTTTAAGCTCACCTTTATTTTCCCGTTTATTTTCAAATTTATTATCATGTAAAATAGTATTATGCCTTAATGAACATAAATCACAGCGTATATCCGAGCTGCAATGGGCAGATGCTTACGAAAGCATAAATAAGCATCTGTTAGCCAATTTTAATTTTTTTTTTTCCCCTCAATTGGAATTGCGCAATTTGAAGTAGAATGTTTCAAAGATTCATTTTCTATCTTCCCACGATATATACAATCGGCTTTTGATGTATTCATATTCAACGACGCAACTGCTGGAACAAAATGTCTGTTTTTGAAGGCAGTATGATATTTCTCACTTTTAATAAGGTCTCGCGATTGATGTTTATGTTGTTCGGTTCTAATGTTAAACTCGGAATAGTTTGGCGATGTTTGGAAAAACGTACGCTCTCTGCTTTCAACTTCCTTCTTCAGAAATTCCAAAATGTTAGTCACTGTGGTTTCTGTGTCAGGGGTTAAAGATCGATTAAACTCTAAAACCAATTCGCTAGGAAGTATCCTCATTAACAGTGGGCATAACAAATAGCTGTAAGAATTCGAAGTAACGTTAAGGGAATCAAGGCTTCTAATTTCAATTTCTAAGCTATCATATAAGTTACGTAATGTTTTAATATCATCCATTTTTTTAACTGGCTTTAAATTCAGCAGACGATTCATATGTGCATTTATTAAAATGTCCTTTCTACCAAACCTTTCTTTCAGAATATTTATTGCCTTAGCATAATTTTCGGCAACTAACGGTAATCCCTTTATTGACATTAAAGCTGTGTCCGTTAGTAAAGATGTGAGGTAATTAAATTTGTCTACATCCTTTAAAGCAGAGTTATTATGTATAGCAGATTCGTATTGAGCCCAAAAACTTTGAAATTCACATATTTCGCCTTTAAATTTATTTATGGTTAGTTTCGGAAGTTTAGCGCCATTTGTATTTGTGTTCTCTACCGTATCTATAGTAGCAGAATTAGATGGCAACTCATTTAATTTAACACATTTTCTATTTCTAAATATTCTACTGATCTTCGATTTACACAAGGTAATTTTATTTTTATATTCCAAGCTATCCTGTATTTCAGTTTCGTACTCTTTTTCATCTGTTAGGATAGATTCGATTTCAGAGTTCAATATTAGTATATCGTTTTCATTTTCATTTAAGATGGATAAATCATCTTCTAATAAATCAAATTTAATATTATCCGATTCTATTTCCTTTTCCATTTTAGCTATCAGTCTTGTTACTGATGCTCTTAACATTCCTCGCTTCTTTTTAGTGCTTTTAACTTATCCATCTTAATAATCAATATTCAATCACTAATCGAACAATAATAAATACTTAAATCACAATATATCTAAAGATCACTGTTATCTCGGAATTTCGGCACCATGTTGCAACTTATGATCTTTTTTCTTATTCTTATTATTTACATTTAACAACATCGATAAGTGAAATTTTGCTTACCTTTCTTAATAAATATCCACAGGAACGCTTGGAATTCCTTTTCATTTTTCTCACACAGAAGCTTTATTTACAGCTAAGTACAAGAATTGTATGCTTACGTTAGAACATTCATCATGTTTTTCTGGTTGCCACTACATCTATCTCAAAAATCCGCAATGCGGCAAGAAAAATATAACAAGATAAAAGTAAAAAACGCTGCGCCCTCTCGTGGCCAGCTACATAAACTGTAACAGCATCTTAGTAGCATTCTTGAATACTGATAGCAGTATGAAAGCAAAAATATCCTATTCCATTTGCGCATGACAACACAAGTTACTTTAAACCCTGCATGATACGCTTTTCTAAGTCTCAGTGGTACATAAACCATATAATGTCACTGCTATTAAAATGCTAATCATCAGTATAGCTCTATAAATGACAGTTGCATACTGACTTTCACAGTTGTGGTTAGATTTTTTGTAAGTGCCGATATATTTTGTAGCAGACTGTAAAAGGTTATTTCACATAATAGAACGTTATTGTGAGATCATGATTTTGCTTCGTATTTAATTTTTGATTTCTTTGCATCTTACCTGTTAAAAGCAGTCAACAGGGGTTTGGAATACTTTTTCGATGCCTCTAGGCACCTTTCAATTCCTTCATCGTCCAGAGCTAAGGGTTTTTCACAAAATACTGCTTTGCCTGTGAAGAAAGGGTAAGCAAAATTAAAATATCGTTATTTCGAAGACGCAGGAGAAGAAATAGTAACTACTTTTACGTGTGTATGTTATGTAAACTAAAAACTGAGTTTTTTTACAATCGTAAGTATTTACCCGTAGAATGAGAAATTCTTTACCTGTGTGATATAAATTGAGTGATCACGATATTGTTTATTTTAATTGTCCTACAGATAAAAAAATGTCCTAGAGATTAAAAGAATTATCACTTTTTTTTTTGGTCTAGAATATGTAACGTACAAACGAATAAATAAATAAGGAAACAAAAAATGTGACGTGTGAGCTAAAAGTTCTACAATGAAAGAGAATTTCAGGAATCACACTTCGTTGTAATAAAATTCTGCAAGAAAGTTCTGCATAAATATTACGCTTCTCTTGCTAAACAGAAATACTACTTACTACTGACATCTGACAAAATAAATAAAAAATGTCACTCTGAAAACACTTAAAAAATTCTGGGAACAAAACAATACATTAGATCGCATTCGGATATATTTTGTAAGGAATTTCACCATTCCCGCTTCGCGTGCTCTTGCATTAATAAGTGGTTAAAATGTACAGCTCGCAGATACCATGGTCCATGATTTAAATCGCGGAGAGGATACAACTGATTCCTCAAGGTAACTTAGTTTTTCAAAATCTTAAATTTGAGCAATAGCGATCCACACCACCTGGATTTTGTCGACTGGGTCTCATGTGTTTCCCGGAAGAATGTAAAGAACTATCACAACTCTTTATGCATATCTTCACAGTTTTTGGTTTGCACGTCAAGCTGACAGATGGAAGATTTATAGCTTGAATCCGCCCTAAGATATATTTTTTATGTTTCCTTTTGGGAGAAACTTAATGCCTACAGTTTCTTCTGAACTGAAAATATGATGGACAGTAACTCTTTATCATTTGGTTTCGATCGACTAGTTCTCCTACCTTGCTCTTTTGATGAAAAAGATTTCAAAGAATAATTGCATCCTTTCGTAAGTTCTTTCGTGGTGTAAGTGATTAGCACGTCCATCTAGCAAGTGGAACATGGCGAGAGATAGATCATTTTCGTATTTCTCATACCGATAAGCCTAACAGGCTTTACAGTGTTCAATATATAGTCGTATAAATCTCACAGAAATAAAATAATAATAATAATTTTACTTACCGGTTTCAAGAGATTTAAGCACTAATTCTTCATGAGTGAAAGTTGGGGTACACACCAAAACAGCGTCAACTCTGTTATAAACAATACCAAAATTGTAAATAAAAGCAATTTTACAACTACCATAATTGATGAAATAATCATTTAAACACGAAAATACGTAAATATACGCAGTCTGTTCATTTTAGAACTCAATTCTCCGATTTTTAGAGTATATTGCGAGCCGCTCAGTTATTATGAAAAATACACCCTGGACTGAATGAATTTAAACCTTCGATGCAAAGTATCATATTTAAAAAATTTTTAAATTAAAAAAATTCTTTGACAAAATTACTTTTAAATATTTAAAAATATCATCAGCATTACATTGTATTGCTTTCCCTAGAGCAGCAATTTCATCCCAGGAAAAAAAGGCAAAATTCACAAATTGGTCACGGTTAAAAAGGGAAAATTCACCAAACTTTCGAGGCCTGGAAGCTGCACTAAACATTTCAAAAAATATTTGTAAGCCAAGGTTTGGTTTAGTTAATTATGGCAAAGCACATTGGGGCTATCTGCCTAAGGGAAGGGATGCCTTCGTAGAGGTCTTTCTAAGAGAAACTGGCTTCTAAACACGTTACACATGGGAAAAACTAGGAAAACGGCCATGCTGCCAGCCCGTTCGCCTGCAATCGAACTCAGGTCGGAACTACCAGCGTTCGGCGATTTTACCACTCGGTTCCTGGTTTTAGGCCAAGGATTTATATTTATGTTTCGGGGGGGAAGAGGTACCAGAAACGAAGCAATAACAGAAGCGACACGTATGATAAAAAATAAACGTTATGATAATACATTTTTTAAAATTTTAATTTAATTTTATTTCAAACAAAATTTTAACCGGTAAAATGAAATTCTGGAAGCAAATTCAGCAGCGTTATTTCAGATCAAGAATAATTAGGCAGTATTTTTAAACACGATATTGTGCGCGCAGGAATGTTCTTCACTAAATTACACGTTTTTAACATTGTATCATTTAGAATTGAAATTGTTTATCGCCACGAACATGCAACAGATACTGACTATATGCAGTTCAGAAGACGAATTTTTCTTGAAGAACTTAAATGGGTTAATCTTTGGATTATGGTAACTTGGCTATTTTTTGACGAAAATTTGGCGACCAACCCTGCTACAGCAACCTGCTAGTTTTTTTTCGGGGGGGGGGACGCCATTTTGTTTTCACAAAGTAAAGGCATTTTTTTTTTTTTTACTCAACATTTTTTTCCAAGAATCTGCTAGCCGAATTACGCTTATGCTAGAACTTTTAAGGAACAAAAGTGCTTAATCATGACGAAGATTAAGTGCGAAATTGGGAGAAAGTGCAGAATCGCCCACTGCTTGCCGCGTTTTTAAGAATTGCACATACACGGTATCATCCATGTACACGTCGACCTATTTTCACTTAAAAAAAACATCCCAGAATTGCACAAAAATGGCATTGCGCACACTCCTGACTTTATCCATGTACACTGCTAAAGTCCTAGCTAGTAACCTTTATCGCCTTACCAAAATGTCGCCAAACTACCTGTTACCATATTCCAAAGATTAGCCCTTAAATGTTTAGTGTTATAGCTTCTGGTTTGAATTTGGAATACGATTGCTTTGCACTGTATTTTTGCAAACATTCAAACAGAAAGTCATAAAAATGTATTAAACATAAACATAATCTAACACTTTCAATAGAAATTTTAAAATATAACAGTGGAAAATAAAAAATTTGCGGATTTATTCGATATTTGCTGAAAAATCTAATGTCAGTGAAATCTTAGAAAATCTTCTCATTCAAGTAACTATTCAAATAATAGTAGAAATGCGTGCCTCAATAAAATTACAATCCTAATTACCACTAATAAGCAAAATAATTGAAAATAAATAAGAAGGTGCACTGAAAAAAATTGTTAAATATGCTGCAAAAGCACATACAGAAAGTTGACTTTTGAACAGCGGTCAAAGATTACTCTGATAAAACATGCAATGTAACAATTCATTCTTACTACACATCAATCGCATTCATGCCTTCATGGCACATATTAGATCTGTATTAAGTCTCTCAGTTTCTTATGTGACCTCAAAGGAGAAAAGTGGATAATATTTGTTTTTCTTATAGATAAATATTTTTAGTTGTAGTGAAAGACAGTTTCTAAATTGGCAACATAAAACCTATTACGTCAAAAATCAGTTTTATTACCAATTTTCGGGATTTAGATCGTAAAAATAAATTAAGTCACTTCTAGCTTATGAACTGTTTATCTGTGCAATTTATAATACATTTTATAACCAGAAACTTGCCTTTTATCTTTGAAGATAGTATCTTGTTCTGAAGGTTTCAGAAATGTCGTTTCGGGTTCCAGAAGTCTCCATTTGTTCTGCACAAAATTCACTCGTTCTTCAGATTCTTCTACGCAGTACATGATATGAGCTCTAGGATTTCTTCTGAGATTGTCCAGATGGATGGTTCCTATGCGACCAAGTCCAAAAATGGCAATACCTACTACAGGAGCTACATCTGAGAGATAGCACTTTCTTTGGACTCCTTCCATGTCTTTCTTGTAACTAGACAAAAACAGTAACACGAAAGAGTTACAAAACTGATAGAGCAATGACTATTAAATAGGCAATAAAAAAAGTTCGGACAATAAAAAGAAGGAACAATTTTTTTTAATATATGTGAATGGATCAATATCAAATGATATGGCATACTTTAAGTTAAAGATGTAGTTTTACAGGATGACGCACAAAAAGGCAGCCATGTAGAATTATACATATTTTAAAACATGGGAAAGAAATGACACGGAAAAGAACATGAAAATCAATATGTAGAAACATAGAAAAGAATATGTGGATAAACATGGACATGAAACAATGAGTAAATATAGCTCCAATAATTACTTGAAGAAGCGGCTATCTTCCTCGGTTCAAGTTTACATTCTGTTTATAACTCTCTTCTATAACTTTCTTCCTTGCATTCTTCCCAAGTTTGCAGCAGAATATCTTTTATTAGCCAATCTATGATCTTAACTTTTCCCAGAATTCGGCATTTATTATTTTAGACCATTTTTTTTTCAAGTGTAAACTGATAAGCACAATTTTTGTGCTGCCCAAAATAAAGCTATGCATCATATGTAAATAAATGATTAATCCATAATTTGAAAGCATATACATATAAAATGAACTTCATCCTCCTCACAGAAGGAGAACTCGATGTACATCTAGCAGTTAGATGTAGAATAAAACTACTCTAGAAAGAGATACAAATAATTCGAATAATTATTTCATATTTTAGAGAACGCAAGAATTACTTTTTATATGAGGTACACTGCTCAATTAAAAAAAAAGGGGGGGGACAGTATCTCCCGTTCTACTGGGCCGATTCACAAAATTCAAATTGCGTTCTTTATGTCTCGAAAGCGCGACTTAGGATATATATTAGATTTATATATAACACTATTCTAACATAGATATTTTGACACAAAATCGGACTTTTTCTAAAATAACATACCATTTGTTTTTACATATTTCGATTCTACGACTCAAATTACGCCTAAATATGAAATTTTGTAAAATTTGGAGATAAATTTACGGAGAAATTCACAGATTTATGTTGACACATTGTTTTCAGTTTGCACCAAGAATAGTTAGTTGGCGAACTTCTTAATATATGGCAACCTATTTTCCTTTCCCGTGAGCGGGAAAAAAGTAACCATCGTTCCTTTTTTCAAATAATGTTCTTCATATTATATTTTTAATTATAATTGTTATTACTTTAAGTAATTTTTTTTTCTTTTTCGAACATTTTAATTGTTTAAGTTGCACGGTTTCTTTCGAATAACTATTTAAAAAATTTATTTTTACCCATTCGAACTGCGTAGTTTAAATTAAAAGGTGTATTGTTTTATTATTTTTTTTTTCAAATAGTTTTCTTTATATTATATTTTTAGTCATAGTTGCTATTTTAGGTAATTTTTAAATTTTTAGACTTTTATTTTAATTGTTAGTGTTGCATTGTCTCTTCAGATAATTATTTTAAAATTTTCTATTTATTCATTCGAAATGAGCATTTTAAATATATTTATTAATATAAATTTTCCAGGATTATATTTTATTTATTTGAATTGCTGAATTGCGGTTCTTTCAGAAGAATACTTTGTGTCGCACACTACGGTGCATCTGAAAACTGAATATATTAAAAGAGAAAATACAGTAAAGCACAGTTCACACGCCTTTCAATGTTCCGTTCAGAAAAGATATATATAAATGAGAAAGATGTATAACCGACATTTTAACTTAGGATGACTTGCATATACTGCTTTAAACAATTTTATCATTGTGCCCGTTGCTTTACACAATTTTATCCTACATTTGGTTTCTTAAAATGTTATTTATATTTTAGTCAAATATTTTATTTTTGAAATCGCAAGAATCAAATATCATAAGATTAAAAAGTTTTAAATTGGGGGGGGGGGGGAAATACTAAATTTTACGCAAAAATTCATTTTTTCTTCTCTTTTTCTTCAGGCATTCTGCTTCATTCTTGCTCTTTTTCTTTAGGCATTCTGCAAGTATATTAAAAAGTATCCAACACTTTTCGAAACAATCTTGGTATATCTGACAATCATTTTAAATAAAGTTATCGCCTTCCATTTCATAAAGGCCCACAAACGGCTGAGCGTTAAAGTCGCTGAACACTGGTAGTTCACTCCGGAGTTCAAATCCCGGTAAACGGGCTGGTTGCATGGGCGTTTTCGTGGATTTTCTCATGTGTAACGTGTATGCCAGCTGGTTTCCCTTGGAAAAATCTTCACAAAGGCATCCTTCCTTTTAAGCAGATAGCCCTGCTTTGCAGTAACTTAATAATCCAATTCAATCCTTTTCATCAGTATTTGGTCAAAGCCTTTATCAGTCTTTAGAGGCTAAGCATTTTGAAGGTATGAGGTGAAAGGAAAGGCTGGTTTCATCAAGGGGTTTTGGTTTATTTAATTATGACAAAGCACTCTAGGGCTATCTGCCTAAGGGTAGGGATGCCTTCGTGGAGGACTTTCTAAGGGAAACTGGCTCGTATACACGTTACACATGGGGAAAATCATGAAAATGCCCATGCAGCCAACGGGCTGGCTGCATGGGCGTTTTCGCATGGGGATTCAAACCTCGGACCAAACTACCAGTGTTCAGCGACTTTACCGGCTTGGCCGCTGTTTCATCAGGAGTGAAAAAAACGTCTTTAGGTGAACATCCACATACATTACTGGATAAACTCCTGAATCTTCAAATAATTCGACTGAGAAATCATGGGATTCTCCGTCTATGATACGATATTATGTTCTATAACGTAATTTAAATTTATACAGCCATATATAGTCTAAAACCAGTCGCTTTTCACTTTAATCTGCAATGATATCGTTTTTGTCTCTTCTGTTAACACAAACTCAATTGATGGCATTTGTTGGTGTACACTTCCAAGTGGTTTCTCTTTGAACACCTAAATTCTTTGAAGTATCCTGAAAGTATATTCGTCCAACTTTTTGAAACATTTTGGTATGCGTGACAGCCAAATTTCCATGCAAATTTTTGCTTACTTTTCTCCCTAATTTTCTTCTTTCCTGCTACAGTTATTTTCAGTACTCACACAAGAAAATTAAGATTTTCGATTGCTAGACTTCCATAAATTTTTGCATTCTTGCAATTTTTTAAAATATTCAATTACATGAATTGCGTTTCAGCTGAAGACAGCTTTGCATTTTCTAGTCATTTTAACTGTAAATAAATTTTAAAGTGAAGTCCAAAGGATAAAGTATTTTAATTAAAAGGTTTTTTGCTAAATGACAAAGAAATAAAACAGAACAGCAGTGTTTATTCTGTACCTACCTGAGTGACCCGATTCTTATATCGACTGAAACAATCTAAATCATATTAAAGATCATGTTTTTCTATACAAGCTCCATAACGCGAGAGAAAAATTAGTTTCTTTAAAACATTCTTTCTAAGAGAATCTAAGAATATTATATTTATATATATTTTTTTAAAGCTGGGAACTTGAACCAAACAGTCAAACTTTTAAAGTTTAATTTACATGGTGGTTATAATTTACGTTCCGCTTTGAAATGGTCATAAAAGGAAAACTACTGGACCAAATGTTATCACACTTGGGAATCGTGTAAAGGAGGTTATGGGAATTTATTTTCCGCAGGAAAAAAAAAAAAAAAAAAAAGAGTTCAAAAACTCACCACCAGGGGGAAAATGGTGCTGCATGCAATATTGTTAAATGAAATAAGACATGAAAACATCGGTTTAAAATGTGTTTAATCGTTTCCGAAAAGTGTTACAAAGCATGTTCAATGTAGCGTCCAGTATTTTCCGAAAGCAAGTTAAATCCTGTTACTGCATTCTCAACAGCAGCTCTTAGCATATCAGGAGGAATGTTACGGACATGTCGATGTATCACATATTTCATTTCTGCCAAATTGTTTAGATTATCAATTAGTTAGATCTTTTGAGATAACCCCATAGCTAAAAGTCACAGAGGTTGAGGTCTGGTGGGAAGAGGGCAAGTGTTGGACTATAAGACGTTCATTCGTGAAATGTTGCCTAAGTAACTGTGCAACACATGTAAGGTGGGGCCCAGCCCTGCATAAAAATCGTAGTATCTAAAATGCCACGTTACTGCAGTTCATGTATCACGAAACATTTTAACATTGACTCTAAGCGAGCTGCAATCACAGTGGTCCAGCTATCCACTGCTTTTCAGAGAAAAATGGTTCAGTTATGAAACTATCTGTCATTCCACACCAAACGGTGTGGATTGACTGCTAGGCAATCGAATGCAGTAGGATAATGCAATAGAACTAGGTAGATAACATGAGGGATTTCTTTGGCCCAAATCAATCAAATTTAATCAGTATCATGTTTTAGGGCCGAACTCAGGCTTCAAAAATTACAAATTAGCGATCTATAAGAAAACGATTTCCAGATTGTACGCACTTGTGCGACTGATTTGTGATCTCACATTTTTTAATCGCTAATTCGTGGTTTTCACGGACGAATTTCTCCCTTACACGGATGGCGCACTCTACTTTCATCGAATTTAACGCCTTTAGATGGTAATTTGCTTACTTCAAAGTTTCTTAAGGATATACAACATATTAAACCCGTGTAACAAAAGGTTAAGTTAGATATTATTTCGACCCATATTTCGTTTAACAATATTGCATACAGCGCCATTTCTCCTCTGGTAGTGAGGTTTCGAACTTTCTCTTTTTCGGGGAAAATAAATTTCCATGACCTCCTTTACACGGTTACCAAGTTTGATAACATTTGATCCAGTAGTTTTCCCTTTATGACCGTTTCAAAGTGGAACTTTAATTACAACCACCCTGTATAACTTTAATTTGAAGCTATGCGTTATATGTATACCATGCGTAAGATTGTCGCTTTTATGGAAAAAATAAAGAATCCAAGCAAATATACTAAGGATAATGAACCAAAACTGAAAAAATTTCGACTCCCTCCTAAAATATATTTTATTTTGATAATATTGAAACTTCGACCTAGAATTTATTGTGCTATCG